TGATATACAATTGGCTATCTCTTTTATCGAAGCAATTGGAGCCCTTTTCATTTTTCTGTATTATTACTTTTTTTCAGGTATCATAGGGTCTTGAGTAGGCTTCGTAAATTAGCGAATTGTCTAGTTTGCTTGTAATAGGATTACTGGGTAGGAAGTGAAACCAATACAACGTTCGTAACATGATTTAATGAGGTATTTTGCGTGATAAATCAGCATCAATACCATAAGTTCGTGACATCCCACTAAACCATAAGGAGCCGTAATTAAACAAAATGTTCTGCCCTACAGACATGGGTGGATTGAATTTATCTCCCCACCATCAGGTTTGCTGGTCAGTAACGCCACCCTCCCTCCTTTTGTGATGTTAGGCTCTCTTACGTTTGTGGTAAGTATGAATACTGCTTTAATCAAAGCCCATAGTTGGAATACACTGTCTCTACTAGGTCCATGTTACAAACAAATCAGATAGTTAAAAGGTTTGTTTTATGGGTTAGATGTCCACATAGCATATCACACTGCTATGAAGATAACTAATGGTTTAAAGAAGTAAGGACTAATAGCAAATCAAAAGATATGAGAGGGTATAAAATTGTAAGTCTGCAGTTTTCAACCAGGTTTCTCGGTCCGGATTTGCGTTTGGCAAGAACATACGTTACCTTCCAGGTTTCCGGATATGTACCTGTCTCTAAAGATAATGTGTATATTTTGAGTATTAGAGTCTGTATGTCCGGCCCTGACATTTTATAAACGATTGAAGGGATGTCATCGGCACCAGAACTCGCATTTGGCTTAAGGGTTTTAATGGCGGTATGTATACTCCTAATGTCGAAGTTTATGGTACTAAGATAGTTTTTGCCGGTGCACTTTATGTCGATATCTGGAGCATCAGATGTATTCCCATTGTGAGAAAACCATTCACTTAATAGTTCACATATGACGGTTCGGTCATTATACGTTACTCCATCGTGCAGTAAGGAGTGAATGTTGTGGTCTGTGTTCTTTCTTATACGTTTCGTGAGGAGACGACATAGGGCTTGAGCTTTAGATGCAGCAGCGAGCGCAGTACGTTCCTCTACCTGTTTATGCTTGTTGTGTTGACTTTGTACTCCGTCAAGTACAGAGTATATCTGGTGCAGGGCACTGAAGTCTTTTGATATATAGTACATCCTTTTCAGTTTTTTCAGTTTAGACCTAGTCTTTTGGTTGATATAGGGAGTAACTGTTTTAAAACCAATTTTAGAGGGTATAGTAGTGTCTAGTGCAGATTTGGTGGTGATATTGAATATTTCTAATGTTTCTAAGAGGTTATTACTGGTGAAGAAACCGTCCCAGTCAGAGTGCTTTATTAGAAATCGAAAGTTTTCCCAGTCAGCGTTTGCATAGTCTCTATATTGGAATCGCGTTTTTAATGTCTTTAATTTGTTGCATATGGCAAGAATCGGAAGGGTGCAGAGGACTACTTTATGATCGCTGTTGTGAAACTTTTCGCCAACCATCATTGATGTTGGTGTGACATTATGACAGAATATCAAGTCAAGAATGTTGTGATTTCGTGTAGGCAGGTGTACATGTTGTTGCCAGCCGTGTATGTCTAAGGACCTAAGTATGCTTTCAAAGCACAATGGGCCAGAATGTGTTTTCCAGTTGATGGTAGGAAGGTTGAATCTCACCACATACAATTTAGTAATTGTAGTCAAGCGAGGCAGCCTGAGCAAATGACTCACTTATAATAGTGTCAGTTGAACTGAGAGTGTTAGGAGCTTGATATATGCATCCGATTAGTATTTTACACTCATGAGTGTGCATAGTAAGCCATATCGATTCAGGAAGTTTGCTGAGGACGTGGTCGCTATAGATTTCTGCTCTCAAATTTTTTGATACATAGACGAGACAACCACCACCCTTCTTGGTGACTCGATCACAGCGAAAGAGCTCATAGGTGTCTATTTGTAGAAATGTGTCTGTGGTATCGGAGGACAGCCAACTTTCTGTTATCAAAACATGTGAGGGGTTGTTTGGAAGTAATAGGGTGCGTAGGTAAGTCATCTTACTTTGTACAGATCGAGCGTTGATTAACATAAGTGTCAGGTACGGTGACTGTTTGTCTAGTAGAAGGGTATGATGTAAACCGAGTGGTTTGTCTGTTTTGCCCTGAGAAAAGGAAGAATTGGGAGCGTTGACTCCACATTGATGAGTGTTTAGATAAAATTCATGTTATCTCTTGTTACAGTGAAATGAAGTCAGAGGCTCCATATAAGAGAATGTATTAATAAAGAATAATGAGTTGTGATGTTTAACAAGTTGGAGTAAGCTCACATGAAGGAAGGGAAGTCAAGGTTGGTGCAAGGAAAGCTGTTTATTAGAAGGGAGTGTGCATATAGAGGGTGAAGTGTTAAGAATGCCAGTGACCATATCTTTTATCGTCTAATGTTTTCTTTCTTTTCTCTTTTTGTCCATCCGATGCCAGCCACACAATCCCAGTGTAAAAAACCGAGTTAACATGTTATAGGTTATCTTAGTAGAACAGCCAATTCAGCATGAAATTGGAAACATGAGTCTGCGTGGTGAGTGTAGGGAGACAATCTATATCACAAATTGATTGACTTATTCTCAATCATAAAGAGCCTGAAACATGCAAAATGTTCTTCCCTACAGACACGGGTGGATTGAAGTTACCACCCTCACCATCAATGCTTGCTGGTCAGTAACTTCATTGTAGCGACAAAACAATCAATATTCGGTTGGAACACCGGACTGACGAACCCAAAATTTATTCGATTAGACCAGAACACGTTCCTCTGTATAGCTCACAACGAATTTTTAAGATACTCGTATTATATTATATCAAAACACATACTCTGTGCTCAATATAACCGGTCCTAATTCAGAAAACAGAACAAGTTATATCAAAAGTAGAAAATACCTTAAACGGTACAGCGTGTGCTATACAGTCAGAAGTTTCTTTAACGCAAAGTAGCGCACTAAACGTTAAAGAAAACAGTTAATGCTAAAGGGTTTGATACCTGAGAATCAATAAAAATATTCCCAACAAGTAGGGATCAGATGTCTATCCGCAGGGATTCCGGCAATCCTCCCAAGCAGACAGTCAAAAGCTTAACGGTCACACACTGAACCACGCCATGACCCTGAGCTTAGTCAAACACGACCTTACTGACAATAGTCCGGCAAAATGCAATGGGAGCTTAGATAACAAAAGATGAGTCTTTAATCAAAATCACGTAATAAAGGCTCAGACGAGGAAGATTGAAGAACGAAAGATGTATTTGAATGTGATCTGAACAAAGGTTAAATTACACGACAGGGAGAAGGAACAAATAAATGATAATACTGTTCAACAAAGAAGCTGCGGAAGGATTTTCATCGTTCTCTTTCCGTTACATCCACTCTCCTTTTTTTGTGATGTTAAGCTCATTTAAGAGTATTTTTGGATATATGTCATACCTCACACAATCCTCTGTGTTTCACACTCTGTTGGAAAACACTATTTCTATAAGTACCGCTTTATAATCTTAACAGGCAGTTACAAGTTATGAACTGTGGGTAAGGCAACAACGCAGTGCTTTGATGGACTATAGTATAAGGTGTGCCAATCAGAGTATAAGCATTAAGAAGGGTATAATGTAAGACAGTTGTTTATTAAAGCAGGCTGAAAAGTCTAGAAGTGTATGAGTTATAGATAAGGTAACGAGTGTAGAAATAACATTAATTGCTAGTCGATATAGTGTACAGAAGAGTAAAAAGCTAACAAAGAATAAACAGGAAGAAACTCACACCAACTTGGTTCTGATGTTATTTTATGTTGTCCTAACCAGTTGATGGGTATCAGGCTCCATAGATGCGAGACCTCTAGTAGTAAGCATTTCGTGGTGCTTTCCTTACTGACGTCATTCATACATTCCAACAGTTACGACAGTATCCAGTTACGTCACCACATCATAGAAATGACTTAAATAAATAAATCAGAAGCAGGTTTCAAGTAGAAATATGCTTAACCAACCCGCTTACCTTGACCAGCTTCTGGCCCGTAGCTCAAGTTTACCTTATTCATACATATTATTATTATTATTGGCATTATTATTATAACACCTGCTAACGTTTTTAAGAAAGTTATTCAGCATCTACCCTCATCTACTAGTTCGAACCAGTTCATGCTATTTTACATACTACGTGATTTCTAACTACATTATCATCTGTCTCATCCCATGTTTAACATATTTATTCTGGTCATTTATCTCCAAACTTCGTTTAACATATAAAACGATTCAAGATAACCGTTCATATTAGTCGCCCAACATTATTTATTTTATTTTGCATTGCAAAAAATCGAAAACTCACATGCTAATTCAGAGTGATTTACCCTGTCTTAAATTTGACCAGTTAGTTTTGATAATTAATCATGAAATATGATTGTAGAACGTGAAGGGAAATTATTGAAAAGAATATTTTTTCGTTCAAATATCTACATTTCGGGATTAATGATGGTAGTGTTGTAGAGGTAGATAAATCCCAAAAATAAATAGTTATGTAAGTCTTCGACATTTGATGCTGACCGCATTAGTTTTACTGGACACACCTAACTGGAGTTTCTCGATCATGCATCCGCATCAGATCATGTGTGGTTACGCCATGCTACGCATCTTTTTCAACTACCAGCCAGTTTAGACCAAACGTTCCTCGACATACCGATAGCCTTAAAAATATATCTGCAGACCATTTCATTTCCGATTAAAAATATGTAACGTGTAAAAGCGTTGTAAAACTCCGAGAACATGTGACAGTTTACCCATATTTTTAAATAAGTTGACACTATTTATGCAGTTTTTATAGTTTTCTTCAATTATTTGTACTCATAAAACTTAGCTGTTCCCAGTTTAGCCCGGAACTTTTCAGAACTCTTTCGTGTGACGAATATTGAGAATTGAACGCGGTTAATTTGAAACGTGCGGTTTTGTGGCTCTGTAGTATAGTGTTTCGACCTAATGAGTGAGGTTCGACGGAGGAAGCCGGAGACCTTGAAAGATAGCAATTCGTCGGCTCAACAGTGTTTAAAATATGCACATAGCAAACACTCGGAAGTCCCTATTTCAGATAAATGCACAGACCGTCCATACAGTCTGTTTTGGTTGTTCCCTGTGACAGCTGTTTTCCTAGCTTGCTTCATTATTTGCGACGACAGTAGTGATTGTTGGCCTTGTTCTGACTCTTCATGCAGTTCTTTTAACGTGGTATCTGCTAGATCACACCTTATCAAGGTCACCAACTTCGGTCCCCGAACTGCCGGGTCCTTGGCTAATGAAGTTGCTGCTGCTGGCTATCTTCGGAATGAATTAAGGTTAATTGCATCTGTTTCTAACAAAACGGGGTTGGTCGTTTCTCTAGACGAACATAAGTCTGGTTACTCGAGTTTCCGGGCGTTTTCTCATGTTTCTTCGTACAATAATGTTCAGAACTTTGCTCTTCGTTTTCATGATCTGCGTGCCGAAGGTGGTAACCATAGCAAACTAGCATTTCTCATTAACTGTCATTACGATACAGCCCCTGGGAGTCCTGGTGCTAGTGATGCGTTTGTTAATTGCGCTGTCATGTTAGAAGTTTGTCGTATATTGGCGACGGGTTCGTTTATTCTTTTTAATGACCTTATATTTCTTTTCAATGGGGCTGAGGAAAGCCTGTTGCTTAGCAGTCATGCTTTTATAACGCAGCACAAGTGGGCCACTGATATCGTCGCTTTTATGAATTTAGAAGGGGCAGGTGCTGCTAAACGTTTAATGCTTTTTCAAACTGGTCCTGGTCCGTCATCAGATGTCTTACTTGAAGCTTATGCAAGTGCTTTCAAACAACCATTTGCCAGTGTTTTGGGAGAAGATGTGTTCCAGTTCGGACTAGTGCCATCGGACACAGATTACAGAATATTTCGTGACTATGGGCTTGTCCCAGGGTTAGATCTTGCGTATATACAAGACGGGTACGTTTACCACACTCCTTATGATACAGAGTCTCGTATTTCGGATCGTTGTCTTCAACTGTCTGGGTACAATATATTGAGTTTTGTCCAGTTGATTGCCAAAGATGAAAGAATACAAGGTTTCACCAAACTGACTCCGATAAATCATACATCAGAAACATTGACGCGTGTTTCAGGCTCAGGTTCACCGTCGGATATAAACAGTGTCCCTCCACTGGTCACTAGATCGGCAACTCTTCGACACGTTTATTTTGATCTGTATGGCGCCTTTGTGATAATTGTTCCATGGGGGGTCTGGAAAACTGTCAACCATCTATTGTGTTTATTTCTGTGCTTCCTGATATTTAGAGCTAGACGACTTGTCTACGTCCGGTGGTATGGATTCGTTGCTGCTTTGTTGGTGCAAGTGGTTACCACATTACTAGGCTTCGCCTTTTCAGTCGTACTTGGACTTATGTATCACCATTACGGTTGCAGAATGGTTTGGTATTCAAATCACTATAATATTGTGGGTATGTTTATTCTACCAGTAGTCTGGTGGTTTGTATGGTCGCAGGCATACTTACTCAAAATACCCGAAGGTTCTGTATTTAAGTTTCTTGGGATTTCTAATTACTTTTCAAGGATATGGCAGCATAATACTTTAGATTACTTCTATTCTTTAGAAACCGACTTTTTTGATTCTAGTGTATTTTTAATAGCACTTCAGTCATTTTTGTTGTCTTTAATTAATGCTCCTTCATCATACGTTTATACATTCTGGGTTGCGTTTGGGCTTATATTTAAGATGTCTGACATTCGAAATGCTTCACCAATCAAACTAAAATTTTGTCAGACCGTCCGTTTTGTTTCATTCTTAGCCGTTACTTCAATTCATACATATAACCTTAATTTATTTCTTAACTTTATGATACCGATTATGGGACGTTCGGGTCATGCTATCAAACCAGATTTATTCCTTTGTTGTTGTATATTTATCATCATGCTACCTGTGATGCTTCCATCCCTAGGACGGCTACAATGCACCTCGAGAACTGAAAGTAAATATCTTTCCTTGATGTTGCTAAATGCTTGCTTGTCGTATACAATCCTCATTCATGCATCAAATTATGGATTCCCGTATAGTATCCAGCCATCTCCAAATTTTTCAAACCCTCTTGTCAGTCCAAGGTATCAACGACTGGTTGTTTTTCATACCAACAGATTTCTTCGGCATATTCCGGATTCTCCTGAGATCACAGAGAGAGAAAGTCATATCCTAATTGTCCCCATTGATGCGAATGGTATTCGATATCTGACACCTAATTCTTACCCTATGTCCGTACTTAAGTTATTTATGAATTCAAAAGAGCATACTCAATCAAACTTCAAAGGTATCAAAGAACTTGTTGAAGCAGAACCCACGGGATGCAATTACAGTCAACCTTATTGTGGTATAGCCTCTATTTATCCTTTTCTTCATATCTTCAGATATTTTTATCGTGTTCCTGCTGAATTTCACAATATAGAACCAACTGTGAAGCTAAAGTTACTGTCACGCACATTGTTAATGGATTACTTACCAAATAGTCGCTTGAGTTGGAACGTTACATTTTCCGTAGTTTCCGGTCCTCCCCATACTCATATCTTAATTCGTACAGATGGGAACTATACTAAGTTAACTGCATGGTCGTTTGCATCAACTGCAATGTATCCTTCATCTATGCCACTCCCTCGTCCATTAATTAGCGATATTTCAAGCAATAAAGGTGAACATTATTTTCTATACCATTTGAATGCAGCAGCATTTGGTGAACATGGGACCTTATGGGAAACACCGTGGACATTTTGGGTTGTTTTCGAAGCCCAAGAAGTACTATCACAATCAAGTTATATTGATGTAGCTGTTGCTGGCCTGTATGCTGATGAAGATATCTCTACTCGCTCTCCTCCACTCTCAGAATTTTTGTCAAGCTTACCACCTTGGGTTACTGTCATTCGGGGTTGTGCTGTTTATGATCATTGGCGTTTTCAGCTGAACTAGTATGAGTTGGGTAAAAATCTAACTATTTTATTTACTGTGATTTACGTTATGTACAAACTCCAGATGTACTACATGGTACGGAATGATTATTTCTACTTTTTAAACAGTTTGAACTACCTAACTTATTTCTGTACTTCTTTAGTTCACAAATATACTAGTTAAAACCTTACTGAACTTTTCACTTCTCCTTTAGAGGGAAAATTTGTTAACCACTTTATTTTCCTTTAGGTTTCAAGATGCCTCACACAATATTACTTGTACAGCCTTCTGTAAAAAAACCAGATACTCGCACATGGTCTGATTATGAAACTGTAGAACAATGTTTGGAGGGTGTATGCAAGATATATGAAGAGCAGCTAAAACGTGAAAAACCTAATGCTCCTACCATCACTTATGATATATCCCAACTTTTCCAGTTCATCGACCAGCTGGCTGACCTAAGTTGTTTAGTTTTTCATGAACCTACATACACATATGTTCCACATCATAAAAACTGGATCAAAGAACAAGTTTATGTACTCCTAAGAAACCAAGCTGGCCAGTAATTAACAATTAATGGACGTCTGTGCAACAATTTTTGCTTGCATTGTAACATCTAACTGAAATACATGTTTTAACTGCCCATTTTTGTTTTTTTCTGGGGCTTGTGATTGTTAGTGATAAAATTAACTATTCATTCTAATTTTTAGTACGACTTATTTAGAATACTGATTTATTTTACTGTTAGGAGTTAGTGTTAGGCTCCACTACATTCTGCGTGCTTGAATTGAACCATAAACCGTAAACGTAGCTTGACTGTTTAGTTGTTAGCATTCTTTTCTGATTGAAATTGTCTGGAAATTTTCTAAGATACTGACACTGTTTATTTGAGGATTTGACGTATCAAATTCTTACAACTGTCGCATTTTCTCGGTTTCAGCTTACTAGTTGTCGTTTGCTTTGTTCGTTTTTTTCTTCACTGCTCAAGTTGTTGCAGTATATCTGCTGATCTCTGTCTATAACTTGACGAAAGTTTTCAAATCTAAGTTGGATTGCGTGGCTCAAAATCGTTTGTGTTGGTACGGATGCACCCACTCTTTATCTTGCCTCAGATTCTAAGCTTCTGAATTCTTCGTAATTTTCTTTGTTTCAATAATCTACAATTTCTTGAATCTAAATTTCGATGCCTAAACTTTTGTATTGTCATTTGGACTGACTGTCTTTAGTCTTCTAGCGTATCATCTGAATGCCTAAAACAGTTAAAATCAAAACAGGAGACTATAGTTTCTAAGGAATGACATCGATTTTGTTGTATAAAGTAAATTCTCATCAACAATAACGAAAGGATATCTGCTTGGTTTCTTTCAAACGACACCACTTGTTTGCTAGACAAGATCGAGGATACTGCGCAGAAGTTTTTTATATATTGCTTTGCGATTACATAGTACGCCCTTTGTAAGAATGTTTGTAAACTGCTCTTTTATCCTACTGGTCTGGAAAAGGTTGCCTAGGCACAAAACCACTGAATAAGCAATGTTAGGCATATGAACAGTTAACGGTAGTGAACCTCTTGTTTAGACTGCTAGCCACGATTTACTGCTCATTCCCAGATATCTGTTACCTCAGCGCGCTATTTTCGCTATTATAATAGTGTTTTGAAGATAGACTGGGAGTGGCTAGCCCAAGTTATGATATTAATGTATGTAGTCAGTGGCTGTTAATTTTGGCTCTTTATACTGGCATAGATGTTGTCGGTACCTATGATTAAACCATAAAATATACTTTGAGACTGATGTAGTTTATGACTGTTCACATTTTTGCATTCATTCGTCATGTCTTAAAGTCTTGAATATGGTATTGTTCCACATGTTATGCGTCCCAACTTTGGTGCAAAAATTATTTCTTACTTTTGGCTGATTAAAATAGTACAGGATATGAATCTCTATTTTATCATCCCAAGTTGATACACTTTAAAACTAACGGAAGCAAACAATTACTGGAAGAAATAATAATAAATTAAATAATAAAAATAAGTGGTATTGAAAAATAGGCTTAGAGTGATATGATCTTCCTTATGTGATGGATTTCTAGTGTGTCTTAACTGTTTGTTTAGTGAATTCAGAACAATTTTGTTGCAATCAGCTCATTGAACTCCGACGTTAATCACTAAATATATAGTTCATTCATTCAGTTTAATTTTTGTGGATTCGCGACGAGTTTGTCTGAATTAAGATGTTAGATATTCGAAATTTGTTATATGAAGGTACTTAAAAGCCAGATACTTGTTCTACCTGTTTCAGTTGGTGTGAGACTAAAAGTTTTTTTCCACGTCCTCATTTCCCAGTTGGAATACATCTAGGATATGGAGATCTCGTTCAGCCGTCCCATAATATGCAATCGTTCGTGTTGACCACTCGATACCCTTTTATATTTATATATATGGCCAAATGCCCTGGTACGGCCGAGAGTGGGGAGAGTCCGCTCTCTCACATGGCCACGCGTATATAGCCTCTGCCGGGGAAGTCCTACTCATTGCCTTCTCGCACCACGGGTGTTGCTTACGAAATTGGGAGGACGAAAAGAGAACGTCCGGCGCTTTAACCGGGTTGGTGGATACGGAGAGTCCACCTAGGGGATTTGGAAAACCCTGACTCCAAACCAGTGGTGCACATGGGCTCCAATATCCTAAGGGAACAAATGGCGTACGAATCAATTATTGGTCACCGGTTACCATGGGACTGCATCTCCTTACGTTGCTCCACTGCCTTGTGGATCAGACCTTCAGGTCGAAGGCTCCGGGTGTGGCCCCCTAAGAAAACCACCTGCTTCAGTTTGGGCACCCGGGCAGTATCACAGCCCTCAAACATATCAAATGAGATCTGTGTGGCGCATATGTATTTGGTGCCTCCTTGTACTAATATCTATGTGTTAAAATAAATAAATAAATTGGCCAAAACCCATTACCATGTACGATATCATAACAGCATATATATTTCTGCTCTATGAGAACTCGATCGAGCCCTTTATATTCTTCATATGATTTTGTTGGTAACCAGCTTATCATGGGTTTAAGTAACCGAAGATTTTGTGCAAAATCGCGTTTGGTCCGTGTGATAGTCGCTCTTAGTAGGGTTAGATGGTAATGTCACATACACTTGAATATCATTTTGTAGATGGCTTTTTCAAATTCGCAAAGGTTCTTGAATTCCTAAATTATATTTTAAACTGAGTGTTGCTCTCATATAACGATGAGGAGGTTGTTTTGGAGAACAATTGATTTCCATAAGGTAAATGTACAAATCCTAACTAAGCGTTCAACAGTTGTGTATGGTGTTCTCTTCATATTCAACTTCTCAAAAAAATGAATTACTTTACTAAATCATCTTTTTTACCAGGTACCATAGCTAAATTGAATTATCACTCGGATGTTCAATGAATTTGTCCAGCAGTCGTCTGAATCCGATGGTGATTGGGAGGTTCGTGATCCGTTTAAAAGTATGTCACTAAAATACGTTAATATTTTTATAGTCACAAACTCTTTACATTGATTTATTTTAGACCTAAGAGAGCATGAAATATACATAAAAAGAGAGTATTTACTATGAGTTTCTATCGTCTAAATAATTACCTTAAATAATTAAGATCCATTATAGTTAAATGTCTCAGCAGTTCGTATTATGGGTCTCATGTTAAATCTAACCAAATAATCATACTTAAAATGTACCCAAGCAGCCAGAGTTAGCATTTAAAGACGACTTCATATATCGGTGAACAGTTTCCGGTAAGCCTAAACACACTATGTTGAACTTCAATACTATTTTCATAGTGTTCCCATGGGGCCAGGAGCGACAGACGCGAACATTAAACAATTTTAGCTAGGGTAAACCAGATTATACCAGATGAGTTCAAAGCAGGTCACCTCATAATGTTGTAGGCTAAATCTTTCACTACAAGACTGAAGTTTGGTTTCACTTCTGTCTCTTTAGTTTTGGTTATGCAGTGATTAATCTTTTTTTATTTATTTGAACACATAAATATTGGTACAAGGGGGCATCATATATATATGCACCACACGAGAGATTAATCTTATCGGTAACATAAATGCTCATTAAATTTTTGATTATTTCAAACGCTTCATAACTTGGCCATCATCACTTGAGAATTTCGTAAAGTGTACTTCACAGTTTGATGATATTAACCTTTAATTTATTGGCCAAAATAACTACTTTAAAATGGAAACTAGGGCAAAACGGTTATCTGAGTTATCTGACAGAACAGCATCTGCGTCCCCCGTTATTTTACTGAAGTAAAGTCTATTTCTTATAATCTGACGAATTATGATTGTTCGTCATACCCATGTTAGTGGCCTGCTACATCAAATTTTAATGGGAGATTTTCACTAAATATTGCTACTCACATATGGTGTATTCAGTTCACTAGGTTCCCGTGAACTAGGGTTGCAAAAGATCTATAAATACTTTTATAAATTCGAACTTAACTTGCTCCTGATAAGGTGTTTGAAATGTTAACCAACCTTAGGTCTTTGTTTTTGAAGATCTGATGAAGACAAGACAAGCTCACTACATATAATTGCAACTAACCGTTACATAGTTGTTAGAACTCTCCGCCACTGATGAGAGCTCCTAATAGTTGCTATTAATCAGTTACTTGAAAAGTGAACTAATAAAATTCACATAAAAGTTGGTGAAATGAAACAACTGGAGTCCTATTTAGGTGCTCAGTTCATAATTTTAAGTTTAACAGTTAAGATATAATTATCTACACAGAAAATTAGTCGACTAATATCACGATAGGACATATTTGTTGATGGTTATCAAAGGACATACATCTTCAAATAACTTGATAACATGAATTATATGTATGAACAGAATTATTCTCAACCGTTCATATCTTTGTAGTATTTTCTACTGCAGTTCAAAGTAAAGCGTATTCACCTGTACTTCTACCTATTTTCAAATGTAGACTTCAAATTTACTCGATATTTGAAGGAAGAGGTTGTTCAGTCGATAAGAAAAAAGCAATATGAAGATGGTACGAGCAAATGTGGTCCATTTACCAATCGTGCGTATACATTTGTCACAATTCCTCGATATCTAGAATCGGTAGTTTACCTAAGATTGATAATTTTTCACTGATTCCCAGTTTTATAATCAAGCTTTATTATTGTATGGGATATAATCGTTAACACCGCTGTTGTTTCTACTCCTTTCATTTTATTGGTTTCCTCCCTCTATGTTGATATAAAGTATGACCACATGAGCCAGTACGCGTTTGTTTCAGGCCTTCCATTTTTTTACGACCGACCATAGAAAACATTGTGTATAACCTCAATGGTTAGAAAAACGACCTTAAGCACGTGTAAGTATGTGTACTTTTCACTTTTCAAGTTTGTAAATATGGGGATCATGGATGTTAAATACTAATACAGTAATCTGCAAAATGTATTCGTTGGAGATACAGGAAACAGAAATATTCAATAAACCTGAGATTGTTTTTCCAATTATCAAAGCTATAAGCCATCAAAAACACATCAGAACGCGACACAGTTTTGTACCGGTTTATGTCGCTACATTTTAACAAGAAACTAGTCATATGATGGGAAATAATACAAAATTAAATTGACTTAGTATAAGCTACCTCTTTAGAGAATAAGTAATTTCTTTTTGGTAACACAAGTTAAATTTAAAAATTTCTCAACGGTTTATTAAAATAACACTACACATTTCGACGATTTTTCTTGGCATATTTAATTGTTTACAACTGATTGGTCACAGGATAGCGATCAATGTCATGTGTGTCAGGTCATTATTAATACAAATTGAATTCTATAGACCAAGTCACAATGTAGCCACTAGTCTAGGTGACTCGACATAACGTGCACTATGTTGAGATGAGATGGTGGTTGGATGTAATCGACGGGAAACCCTGAACCTCAGTCAGTCAGTCAGCTACAACGTAGGACCAGGCACATATGTGCATCGGTCCAGGTTGCCATACCGCATCAGCACAACAAGACGAACACCGGATTCATAGCATGTAAGAGAAAGATTGCATATAGAGATATAGTACAAGAAGAAAGAATTGGTTCGTAGAAAGAAAGATATGAAGCGAATTTAACCTCTTAGTTTAAGGGAAGACAGAGAGTGTATACATCGACGCCATTGTGATCGATTCTGAGCCATGTCACCAAGAGTCTCCAACCATTGGTTACGACAGTCAAGCGGACCGCAACCAAGTAGTCTGCATCTACCAACATGGCTCAGACTACAAGTTAGTGACTTCAGGCACTGATGCCACGTTTTGGTTTGGCCGCCCCTAACTTTCTTCCAACCATTTCCAAAACCTGATAGCATTGCACGTCGTGGTAATCGGTGTTCAGGCATACGTAATACGTGGCCCAACCATCTCAGTCGATGAAGATTCATAACCTCATCAACTGATTTACCATCATTCCCTAACACCCTGCGTCTAACCTCACTATTACTTACCCGGTGATCCCAGCAGATGCCAGCAATATTTCTAAGGCATCTGTGGTCAAATACTAATAGCTTACGAGTGTCTTCTACTCTTAAAGGCCATGTTTCGAAATCGTAAAGTAGAACAGAACGAACTGCCGTGCAGTATACTCGTATTTTATTGATAGATAGATATCTCGCCTTCGCCATAGGTGACGCAAGTTGGCAAAAGCCAAACGAGCTTTTCGAATCCGTGCTGAGATTTCGTCCGATACCAACCCATTAGGGCTGATCAGACTTCCAAGATAAGTGAAGTTGTCAGCGCGTTCGACTACTTCACTCCCTATCCTTAGTTTATGTGTTGACGCAGACCAATCCTGAAGCAACAACTTGCATTTAGAGGGAGAGAAGCGCATTCCAAACATTCTCGCATTGTTGCCCAGTGCTACCAGAAGACTCTGCATTTTGTCAGCGTCTTCACCAAACAGGACTATGTCATCTGCGTATTCTAAGTCGATAAGTGGACCTCCTGGAAGGAGATCAATACCCGAGAACTCAGTAGACGAAAATGTTATTTCCATCAGTAGATCTATGATGAAGTTAAACAAAAATGGGGAAAGTGGACAGCCTTGACGGACACCACTTGAGGTTGCAAAAACAGATGACAGTTCGCCATAAGCTCTGACTCGACTGGTAGTGTTCGAGTAAAGAGCCTCCACAAGGTTTATGTACTTCTGAGGTACGCCTTTCAATGACAGACACTGCCACAGAATCTCGCGGTCTACCGAGTCAAATGCTGCTTTTAAGTCAAGAAAGACCACCACTGTCGGACGCCGATAAGTATGCCTATGTTCTAGAACCTGACGAATGGTGAATATGTGGTCGACGCAGCCACGACCAGGTCTAAAGCCAGCTTGGTTCTCTCGTGTTTGCAGTTCACGAGTCTTAGTTAGGCGTCCGATAATTATCGAGGCCAGTATTTTAGATACTATATTAGTTAAACTAATCCCTCTATGGTTGTCACAGGATGATTTTAACCCTCTCTTATATATTGGGACGATAAGTGATTGTGACCAGTTAGATGGAATAACGTCTAACTTCCAGATCTTAGCTAAAATATTAGTCAACCCAATCGCTAAAATTGAACCACCATCCTTAAAGACCTCTGGAGCCAATCCATCTGGACCAGCTGCCCTTCCTCGTTTCAGATTAACTATAGCCTTTTGAACTTCTACTAGAGTTGGGGGACCTACTTCAATGTTCCATTCACACTGTCTGGGAATGGAGGGTAGTTGTAGAGTAGCTGAAGGCTAGCTGAACTGTTCTCTGGAGTGTTCCGCCCATCGTTCTAAACGTCTGGACTGGGAGCAGATCAAAGTGTCGTCTTTTTCCGAAATAGTCCGACTTACACTTGACTCATTAATTCCAGTTTATTTAATTAGTCTGTAAAGCTGTCTTGTGTTCCCTATAGTCGCCGCCTTTTCCATCTCTTTTGCTTTCGTTGCCCACCACATAGATCTGATTTGTATTCGCTCTTCATCGTGTTCAGAGCCTGATGGGATGAGTTTACGAGATTCCATCAGTGCAATAGACCTAGAGGAAATCCATTGGTTCTTTGTAACCCTGTGGTTTAAATCACTGATAGATGTCACTGCTGTTTCCACAGCTGTTTGTATAGCTTTCCAAGCAACATCTGGGTCAGCCTCGTTTCCACAACTACCTAAGTGTGACCTCAGCTGTTTCTGGAACCTACTTTTGGTTTTCTCGCTACTCAATTCAGTTCTAACGGGTCTTTTTACTGTGGCTTTCCTGCGTTCAGTGAGGCGCAAGCAGAGTTGTGCCCGTATTAGGGCGTGGTCGGAATCCAAGCAGGTACTCCAGAATGAGCGACAATCTTGTACCGACCCTCTCCAACGATGACTGATGGCAATATGGTCTATTTGAGTCCATCGTTGGTTTGGTGTAGGGGGTCGCCATGTTAGGCGATGTCTCTCCTTATGCTTAAAATTTGTGTTTACTAAAAATAAACGACTGTCTGAGCACAGTTGCAGCAGACGATCACCATTATCTGTCCGTTGTGCCGGAATGCTAAAATATCCACCTAAATGCCTTTCTGTTTGCTTTAAGCTACCTATCTGAGCATTAAAGTCGCCTGCTACGAGTAATATGTCTGAACGTTTAGCTTTCTGAAGAAGTTCGGACAGTTTTCTGTAAAATTCATCTTTCACATCATCCCAGCTGCAGTCAGTGGGAGCGTAGGCAGAAACGACAAAAAGGCAACGACGTGTGTCTATATCCTTCCGAGATTTTACGGAGCCGTTTAGCCGAACAGCACATAGGCGACTGTTGACGGGGATCCACTCTAGCAGTGCTTGTTCCGCCCTCATGCTTAGTGCTATCCGTACTCCTGCCAGTTCACGAGAACTGGCCATAGGGTCACCAGATACACGGAGGGTGTATCTCGTTGGCTCGCCGTTTTGCCGAGGTGAGGTCAAGTGAATGACCACACTGGGATCCTGTATGCGTGTTTCAGAGACACAGCATACATCAAGGGTACGAGATTCTAGGGTTCTAGCCAAGGAAGCCTGTTGACCGATTTGACATAGGGTGTTTACGTTGAAGGCTCCAATGTGTAGTTTGGAGCGAGGTTTCAGTGGACCTGAGACAGTGTTTTGCGCACTAAAATCGTTGGCTATGGTGACACTTGAGGGAGAAGTTGAAAGAGTAAGTTTAGAGGTAAAAGTCGATGTAGGAGGAATAATAGGAATTGAAGAGGAAGGCTGATTATGAATACAGTGGTCTTGATTACTGTTAGAGGTATAAGGGCGTTTATCACTTCCAGGTTTCCCACACCGTGGAAGGGTTCTTCTGGAGGTGCCTGAAAGGAAATTGGATTAGAGGTGGTCTCAGTGACCTGAGAGCGTGACCGCAGCGCCCAACGGACGACTGCTTGAGGTCGGTCACACACGACCTTTTTATGGGTAATTTTTGTGTTAGCTCCGTACTTGTTGAGACCTTACCACCGGAGACGGATATCCGTAGGATAGGGTGAGGTGTGGATTTTATAGGGTCGACCTTTTCTAACCCCACCCCTCCTTGTGGGAAGGCAGCATCGCTGTTATGCTGGCTGTCTGAAGGAAACACCTTACTACTGTCACACCTTTTTACAGTCAGCAGCACGACTTCGCCTTCGGACCTTGGGTTTGTTGCTTTTAGTCTTACCGCTCTTCAACCGACCTGTCTGGCATGGTAGGACCTTGAGGAACGGTTGTTCCAGCCAGTATAGTTCGGTTGCTTGATCACGATAGGCAAGCCCGACCACCACGTCAAGGTAGCAACAACGGTCGGGAAGCGACACTCGACGGTGACCCTGAACCTAGGTTCCGTGCTATTCTGTCCAGGGTTTCCTGTCGATTACATCCAACCACCATCTCATCTCAACATAGTGCACGTTATGTCGAGTCACCTAGACTAGTGGCTACATTGTGACTTGGTCTATAGAATTCAATTTGTATTAATAATGACCTGACACACATGACATTGATCGCTATCCAGTGATCAATCACTTGTAAATACATCTCAGTCCCACAAGAGGTCTGTTGCGACCCGGGTCGTCCGGTAGTAACATTTCTGACTATAAAGCTAGG